ATGTTAGAAATGTTAAAAAATTTAGTGTTATTTAGATTATTTAGATTAGCATAATTAGTGTTATATAGAAATGTTAGAAATTTTAGTTATCAAAATTCAATCATTAAAAAATTGTTACTTTTTGCGGGCATATAGCTAGTATTTGTTCTCGACGATGCCCGGCCCGCATCCTCGCCGTCGACCCGTCCGCGACGACGTCCAGCCGACCCATGTCCGGGACTGGGCTCCGCCGGGCTGGCACTGGGAGGTGCTGCCTGGAGGGGCGCGCCGCTTGACGAGGAACCCGGCCCCGGGTCCCGTCGTCGACCCTGATCTCGTTTGGTGGCGTTCGCGTGGGCCAGTTTCGGTGCGGAGGGACCCGGCCCTGCCGGAGGTGGTATGTCGCCGTGGCAGGGAGGAGGACGAGCACGTCCATCGCTACATGGTTGCGTTAGAGGGCGGCAGGTTCTCCAATACCTGGCAGTATCTTCGGGGATCTCACTTCAGCTATGATCCTGTGAGGGTTCCTTCTCTTTGGATGTCCACCGCTCGCGCCGCAGGAACCGCGAGTGTCCTAGATTCTTCTGTAGTATTCGATCTTTAATTAGCTAGCCAGTGATGTACTATTCAATATTATATATTATTCGAGACGATGTATTCGAGATTATATCTATTATTCTAGACGAAGTATTCGAGATTATATCTATTATTCGAGACGATGTAATTTGAATACTAAATTGTTTTATATTTCTTTTGAATTAGTTAAATAAAAGCTATGGCAGACAATACCGACAGAGAGGGAGAACAGACCATGTTCGATATGATACGCGGGCCAAATGATGATCAGAATGAAGAAGATTATGACGGCTCCGAATTTCTAAACAACACCGGAGAGGGTGATATGATATTCGATCGCGACGACCGAATTGATGAAGTCATGAACTACGATTATGACGATGACGAAGAACATGTTGATCCTGAAACAACAAAGACCGGCGAGGTATATATATTTATATAAGCAGGTATCTGGTGATCATCACATGTTTTAAATGACTTGAAGATATATTAATGAATCGATCTTTGTTCTTTCAGCCATCCAGATCGAGCAAATCTTCAGGAAAAAGGACGAAATGAGGCCCGAACAAAAAGTTGAAGGAGGGCGTAAAGTACAATATCGAGGCATTCAGACCTAATGGCGAACCATTAGCGCCTAAGAAGATTGCGGACAAGTTCGTTCGTCAGTGCGGAGTTCTTGTGAAGGACCAACTCCCGATCTCCCTTCAAGAATGGAGAGAGCCAGCAAAAGACAAAAGAAAAAAAGGCAAAGAGGGCGCTGCTCCACGTCCAGATGTTACTTTTGTCGACAAGAATCAAAAAGATCTGCTTTGGGATACTCTCATGGAACATTTCACCCTACCAGATCATTTCACAGAAGCAGATGTGCAGAAAGTCAAGGACGCTGCTCTTAGGAAGATGGCGGTTGCATTCAAGAACCACAAGAATCGTGAATGGAAAAAGTACGTCAAGGGAGGAAGGAAGACTCCAGTATTCGAGGGAACACTAGAGAACCAACGTGCTCATTGGGACGATTTCGTGAAATTCAAGGATTCGGAATTAGCTAAGGAACGGTCGAGAATAAACAAGAAGAATGTCGAAAAAAGGATAAGTTCCATAAGCTGGGGCCAGGTGGCTATGCGGTGGGAATGCCTAAGTGGGATAAGTCTGAGAAAGAGATGGAGGATGCAGGTGCCACTCCGGTTACTAAGAGCTGGCCCCCCAGGGTCAGGACTTGGTTCTATGCGCATGGGGGGAGTTGGACCCGAAGACAGGCAATGTTTCGACGAGGGCAAGTCTGAAGGGAGCCGACGATGCGATACTTGTTGCAATAGAAGAGGCACGATCGGGGGTGTTCCAGCCCAACAGAGAGAACGACGAGCTTACGTGTGCCCTGGGAAATCCTGAACACCCGGGAAGAACACGAGGCAAGGGCGCTATTCCGTGGTATGAGGGGTTTTCAGACTGGAACATCGACTACAGAACCCGTGCGAGAAAGAAGATTGCGGAGGAGAAGAAGAGGAAGATGGAGGAGGAGCATAGGAAGCGGGACTATGAACGCCTTCAAGGCCTAGAAGCAAGTCAAGCGGAATTGGCAATCAAATTCCAGCGGCAGCAGGAGTAGATCGACTCACTTACCCAGCAAAGGGGGTCTCAGCAGCTGCAGCAGCTAGCGAATGATCCAGCCTTGGATAGCACCGCCCCATCCATGCCGAGAAGCAGTGTGGGTTCCGCCCCGGACGATGCAATGCTGGATAGATACCCTGTGGATGACATCACGGAGAACACTAGCTGCGAGCTACACGTCAAAATGAAGAACATATCCATGAAGGTGGCGGACGCCGTTGCTTTTATAAATCCCCCCAAGGCAACCTTCCGTTGCAACCCGATTCCAGCGGGCTATGCTCATCTTTCGAAGGCCACCGACACCGCGTTAGCCGACTCCTCGTCGAAGTCCGCCACTGAGTCAGCAGTCTCCTGCTCCTGCAAGTCCACCAAGTACGGCAAAGTGTCAGGCCACTCCTCCTCCAAGTCCGGCAAAGTGTCAGGCCACTCCTCCTCCTCCAAGTCCGCCACAGCGTCAGACGTCCACTCCTCCTCCAAGTCCGGCACAACCTCAGGCCACTCCTCCTCCAAGTCCGGCACAGCTTCAGGCGGCCACTCCTCCTCGTCCAACTCAGCCCCGTCAGCCGTCTCCGCCGCCTCAGCAATCACAGAAGAGACACCCCGCAGCTATGGTGCGTAGCGGTACGAGTCGAGGTAGTAGAGGAAGTACAGGCGGAGGCAAGCGATATAAATATGGTCCAAGCCTCACGCCTCTTCCGCAGAGGGCTTATGACAGGTCCGAGGAGGAAATCGCAGCCATATCAAAGTCCGAGGTAGAAACGGAGCGCGTAGAAGCACTTCAAGAGGAAATAGCGGGATTTTTGCTCGACCAGGTCATAAATCCGAAGGGAGAATACTATTACCCGCTACCGCCCCCATGAAAACCACTTCCAATTGTCATCGTGCTCCGAAGGCACCAATATAGGCTAATGCCACTGGCTCCGAAGGCAACATGCATATGTAGGAGAAATTGTATATAGCTATACGTGTGTGTATGTGTGAATTAATTAATATGATGGTTTGTGAGACATTGATGATATATATATATATATGCATGATTGGTTCTACTAGAAATTCTATTTATATATATATATATATATATATATATATATATAGGGAAAATCCATCCTACCACCCGGTGGTAGTTACCCCATATGTCTTATATACTATCATATGGTATTATATATACTACTTTATCATTTTAAATTTATTCGTATATTATATCTAAGATATTTCAAAGCAAGTTATATGAAAAAATTACATATAAGCCCACGGTTTTTGTTATATTTGTGAAATACGTACATATTTGTACATAAAAAACAGCATACTCAAAACATGGTATATACTACCTAATCATTGTTATATACTACATACTACACGTACATACTTTCGATTTTGACGGATACTGCATACAACATACAAAATAGAAGTGGTGGTAACTACCACTGCTTGTAGGAAACATTTGTCATATATATATATATATATATATATATATATATATATATATATATATATATATATATATATATGCATAACGTGTACAATGTGTAGTATCGTAAAATACCAGCAAACGAAAAAGAATCAAAATAGAAACACAAAATTAAATGAAAAAGAAATCATAAAACTAAAAACCCCCAAACCTTATAGTACCGGTTGGCCTTACCAACCGGTACTAAAGGGCTCCAGGCCCCCGGAGCTGGCTTGTGCCACGTGGTTGCCCTTTAGCACCGGTTCGTGCTGAACCGGTACTAAAGGGGGGGGGGCCTTTAGTGACCACAAATTAGTGCCGGTTATGTAACCGGCACTAAAGGGCCTTACGAACCGGTGCTATTGCCCTGTTCTGCACTAGTGGAGGGTCCTCAGCGGCGCCTCCAAGGATGGAAAGCGGCGCCCTTGGGCGTCGCCGCCGCCGAGGCCAGACCAGCCGGCCTAGGGTTTCCCCCCGGGCCCAAATCCGTGCCACCAGCATCTCCCCAGCCAACGCGCCGGCAACCAAGGCCGTCGGGCATCATGTATGGGAGAGGAGGAGTGAGCCAGAAAGGTGGATTAGTCATACCTTCAGATCTGACGAAGAAGAAGGCCTCCCGCCGCGACCACCATCCACCAGAGGCCTCGCCGCCCCAGCGGCCGAGGAACCTGGCCACCAACACCAAAGGAGGCCGCCAACCGTCACGCCGACGCCTCGCCACCAGGGGCCGCCGTCCCAACAGCCACAGCCCTCCGCGAAAGAAACAGAGTGGCGAGATCCCCGCCGCCACCATCACGTGCGGACATGCGGGCTTGCCCGGCGACCTCCTCGGGTGGCGGCGAGGGAGAGAGGGGGGGGGATGGGGGTGGCGGCACGAGGAAACCCTAGTCGCCGCCCGAGCCGCTCGAGCAGGCAACGCGGGGGCTTGGGGGGAGGGATCAACCATGATGTTGGTATGAACCTATACCAACGCATAAGGTTTTTTTTTCTGCTGTTGGTTCTAAAAAAAAGTATAAAGATATGAACCGGTTTATAAGCATTTTTCAGAATTATACCAAATATAAGAAAGTATACCTGGACCGGCCACACCGATATAGGCCGACAGAAACGTGGAACGGGCCAGCGACTTTTGGCCCAGATCAGACGCGCGCGTCGTGTGTCGTTCTCGCTGATGCGTGCCGATCGATCGTCGTCTTCTTCATCCCTAAGACCCCACGGCCACCAAACCGAGTCACCAACCCTATACCCTGCCGCCAACCGAACCGCCGCATCAATCGATCGCAGCTGATGCGATGCCGCCCAACAAGGTCCAGCCGCCGTCGGGTCCCGGCCGCAGGGGGCTCTTCTCCTGCCTCTACAGCTCGAGGAGTTCGACCGGCTGCCCATAGACGACATGTCGCCCGATGCCGTAGACGAACTGGCCAGCACCATGCGCAAGGGCGGCCTCTCGCTTGGCCTCCTCGACCCCGTCTCCAACATCATCCTCAATACCATCGCCCTCCTCCCACGGGACTTCAGGGCAAACCCATCGCCTCCGCACGACTCCAAGAGGAGGAGGAGGTCCAAGAGGACGGCCGGCGTGGTAACGCCCAGGGATAGCTGGTCCACTACCATTGGGCTTGGGCCAACCTGCCGCAGGGATACGTGGGCCGGAGTTGCTGCGGCATCCTACCAGGCTCTCCGCTGTTTCATGGTGTCATACTTCGGATGCCTCAGTGAAGAACAGGCCACCCGGTACCTCCACTGGGCGGGCGCCGACCTCGCCCTGGCCATCCTGCTCGTCGAGCACGATCTATACGCTGCTGAGCTTGAGCTCCCCGACCCCGCCTCCCAGAGGACTCGTGCCGCCCTCAAGTACGCCGCGGTTTGCGGGTGGCATCCTGCGCCTGACATCCTTGTGCGGCTCAACGCGTCGCCTTTGCCCCGGAAGCAGCTGCTCGATGTCGCCACGTTCCTTAAGCCGACCAGGCGAAAGCTAACTGTCGATGATGTCAACACCCTCGTGGATCTATTGCGGTACCAGGACAGTGCCCCCCTGGACCTCCAGCTGAACTTGCTGCCAGGCGGGAGGGAGGTCATCGTCTACTGCCGGAACCACAAGCCCGACCAAGGAACGCTTGAAGTTTCCAAAAGAAAGAGCTCCATGTATGGCTTCGACGTGGTCTCCATCAAGGTAGAGCGCCATGGTGACCACTTCGCATCCTTGTGGTCTCCTAAAGACAAGAGATCCATGATATCAGCCTGTGTGGCAAAGGCCAGAAAAACATCTCAAAGGCGCGGCCTGGTGGAGAGCTGCAGCGACGATGCCTGCGAGTATACTGAGTGTCTCAAGATGAGGCTCCACGCCATGATCCACACATTGTATCTCAAAGTCTTCACCATGCTTCCCCCCTCACGCAACAGGCTCATCCGCGACATATTGTGGGCTGGACACTGCTATGGCCCCATGGACCCCATCTCCAACATCATCCTCAGCTCCATTTGGCACAGTATAGTGTGCCCGCTCCCATCGGCAGACTTTGATATCCAGGTGTACGACATCCTCGACACCCTCTCTATGCTTCGCGTGGAGGTCCGTTCCTTCGAAGGCCTCATTGCCCTCGTTGGAGCAAATTCTGAGTCTAGATCCTCGATGCAGCGGGTGATGGAGCAGCTTTGCTGCAAATGTTGTGACCTGTCTGACAAGACGCACACCCTGCAACAGTTTGCTGCCGCAGCCGCTGCGGCTCACGCTGCTCTAGGATCATTTCTCGCATCCCTGACGCCGGACATGCTGATTAACATGCGACGCCTGCTGACCACAGGTACAAATGGCGTGATCTCTTCTGAATCTATCAGTGAAATAGAGCGCATTATCCAAGACATCGCACCGCCCTTGTCTCCCGAACCTCCCATGGAAGAGGCGCAACTGTGCAAGGAGGCTAAGGAGACCCTGTTAGGAAAGAGGTGTGATTATAACCAGAAGAAATTATTCATTCGCTCTTGGCTTGCAAAAGTGCTGAAGAATTATGCTGCTGAGCATCCTCAGGTACATGTCTTTATGTTGTTTGCCTTTGTCGCTATTCATTTCGTGCATACATACATATTCTTTTAAGTCATCTATATGATCTGCTGCTTTATGATATTGTTGCTGCGCTTGTTGTAGGAACCAAAATATGTGCCAAGTGTTATCTGTGGTGTCGAGGCTACTAACATCGAATCCTTAGATAGCTATTGCTACCACGTTAATTTTGTGGCCGCTCTCGAATCAGGGATTGCTGAAAACAAACTCTTCGCCGAACTCAATTTCCTGTGTCCTGAACAACAGCCAAAACCAAATTTCTGCTGCCCTCTACCCCTGACTTATAAAGGTAACACCTCCTCCCTTTACAAGTAGCATCAGCAGCCATGCAGGTTTGAAACATTAAATAATGAAGTTTTTTCTGTTTCATCGAAATGCCTTTGATTTTCATTAAGCCATTTTTTTTCTTTTTATCTACGAGTTACGATGCTATATATGCTTTCGTTTCATTGGATATCCACCATCCTTGTGTCCTCAGTTAATCACTTTGGTTATCTTTTGCGGACACCAAGATACATTTATGTGGTTTACATATCATGTGTTCTGGAAGGAATCAAAACATACATTTACCGAAAAAGGCTTTCGCCCCGCTTTATATATAAAGCACAGATCAACCACAGTCCAAGTACAAACACAACCCACGACAACACACGCACACCCCCAAGGCGGGATACATAGGCGCTGAGCGCAGCAACACCACCCCTAACACTACAAGAGCAATCGGGGACCTCCACCGTGAACACGCCACCGCGAAGAGATGAGGCCACATATGACGAATCGTGAGCTCCAAGGCGGCGCCTCCAAGAAGGTTACGACGCTAGCGCGCCGCCACCGCCTGACCCGGGGGTCAGAATTTCCCCTGGAGCGATACAATGACCGGTGAGAGCCGCGACGACGCCTTCAAGAAGGTAACGCGCTATGCCACCGCCGGTCCGTCCGAGGATAGAACAGGTTTTCACCCCAGCAAACACTCACCGCCACCGAACGCCACACCCCTGCCACCATGCCGCCCACACGACCATGGTCACCGGGCAGCACCAAGCCACGGGATCTGCCCATGAGCACCGCGCTACCACCACCAGGGCCGCCGCCCCGGCATCCAAGACCCTGACACCACCGCACCCGAGACCCGTCGCTACCCCAACCAAAGAGACGAGTGGAAAGGTCGCTCCTTTACACACCCCTGGACGGCCCCCGGCGCTGAGACCCAAAGGGCCGGCCCAAAAAAGGCCTCCATCACCCGTCCTGCTACACCGGGTGCAAGACAAGCTCGGTCCTGTTGTCGGGCGCGACGCGAGACGAGCTCGGTCCTGCTGCCGGGCGCGAGACGAGGTCGGTCCTGCTGCCGGGCGCGAGGCGAGCTCTGTCTTGCAGCCACGGGTGCGAGACGAGCAATGGACCGCAACTGGGAAGGGTCCAGCCCTATGACGAGGGTAGAGCCCGGACGACGAGGGGAGGAATCGAAGGTCGAAAAAGGCCGCTCACCGACGGCCGACGCCGGAGGAGACCAGCCGCCGCCGTGAAACGGTCCAAACCTGCCAAGCTGCCGTGGAGCCATCCACGGCCGGAGCAGCAGCCACACCGGACCACTGCCCAACTCGCACCGCCCGCCGAGCTCCAAGCGTCGGAGCCGCCGGACACGCACCTCCCGCTTCCGGCGAGCCACCCGCATCCACCCGAACACGCCTGACCGAGCCACCACGAGCTAGCACGCCGAAGCACCACCACGTCGGAGCCTCCACCACGCTGGAGCGCTGCAGAGGCGGCCAACCCGCACCGCCCACGGCCCTCGCCGCAAGGTGCGGTAGCGGACAGATCTGGCCGGGGCCATCCGCCACCACCGGGCCCCCGCACGCGCCTCCATCCAGGCCGCCGTCTGCAGCACGACGAGCACGCCGACGACCTCCAGCCACGCCACCCCGCCGCCACGACCCGCGCCGCCCACGTGCAGCCCGCCGGAGGGACCCGATCCCGATCTGGATCAAGAGGCCGAGCCCCGCTGTCCACGCACAGGCACGCCCCACCTAGCCCGCGCAGCCAACGCCGCCGGCGCGCCTCGCCGCCGCCGCGCCCCACGCCGAGCACGGCGCTCCCGCCGACCACCGCGTCCCGTGCCGCGCGCCGCCAAGCCAGGAGGGAAGAGAGCCCCGCCGCCGCCGACGCGGACCAGGCTTTGCCCGGCCGCGCCCTCCGGCGGCGGCGAGGGGAAGGAGAGGTAGGGGAGGGCTAGGGCCGGCGGCGCCTAGGGCTTCGCCCAGCCGCTCGCGGGAGCGGACGGGACGAAGCGTTTCACTCTCGTGGGAGCGGACGTGAGTCTGGCTTTACCCAAAACATACATTTCTGTGCTCTTGCTGCTGAATCATGTGTAAATGTTTTGAGCATCTCAAGATTTCTTTTGGGATATGCTGCGCACTTCTAATGGTTTCTTCTTCTTGTCAAGAACGGTTGTTTAAAACTATAAACGGTGGTTTTCTACACCTCAGGACACTACACCTCGATGCACCCCTGGCCGAAAACATAACAAAAAAAAATCTGAAACTTCGCGGCATTGATTATGAACAAATGTTTTAGGTGCTTGTAAAGTTTGATAGCCAAATGACATCCGAGAAGCTCTGTACAATTTCTTTTTACAAAATCGGCTCAAAACAGTGTGCATACATTTGAGCACCATTTGTTTCTTTGTACGGAGCTCCTTGGCGACCAAACTTTGCAAGCACCTATAACATTTGTTCATAATCAATGCCACGACGTTTCTGATTTTCTTGATTTGTTTTGGTATCTTTTAGGCCGGGGGTGCATCGGGGGTGTAGTGTCTTAGGGTGTAGCCAAGTAGCCACAACTTTTCCTAACATTTGTTGATAATCTAATGAGATCCGAGGAGCTAAGTACCAAAAAAAATCTGCTCAAAAAGTGCACATACGTTTGAGCATAATTTGTTTTTGTACAGAGCTATTTGGATGTCATTTGGCCACCAAACTTCACAAGAATCTAAAACATTTGTTCATAATTAATGCGACGAAGTTTCAGATTTTTTTTTTGTTGCTATGTTTTCGGCCGGGGGTGCATTGTGGGTGGAGAAAAATCACTTGTTTTTGATGTACACCAATGGTCAGAGCAAATAAGCATGGTTTGCCAAACATTTCTCTTTGAAAAATCGCTTCCTGATGCGGTAACTTGGAGTTGTTTTGTTGTGTTCGATAGATAATCAACTCTGGTTTTGGTGACAGGTCGTTGCTACTATGGAACCGGATCCGCGAGGAAGATCATGTTTCTAGATTCTTCGGACTATTTTGAGAGTAATATTGATATTACTGTTGGTGGGACTACGAGCACCGACCGAATGCTAGACGTTGATTTCGTATTTGATTTTAGGAGAGACGTGCAGTTTGCAAAGGATGTTAGGCAGTACTATGAAGACCAAAAGTTGTCGTCGGAGTGTGATGAGTATTAGTTTCAGCGGCTGGAGGAACTAGTATCAAGTAGGTCTTGAGACTTATTAAGCCTGATGTAGAAATATTAAGAAAAGGTAGTGTGCTTCTTAATACTTTTTTAATCCATCTTGTCTGAAACTTCATTGTTGTATGTCTCACTATATAACCAGAAAATTGATTGGTCGTTGAAGGTTCAGTTTATTCATTTTTCATCAGACATCTACCAAATTTGTTGGACATGTGCCCTAGCTAAGAGCATCTCCAACAGACGCCCCACTGAAAAATTAGTGGTTTTAGTGCGCGCGCTACCGCTCCGGGCGCTCCAGCGGAGGCGCAAAAATCGTGCGCGCGGCATAACTAGTTCAGCACGCCAGCCGAAACGCCATCGCGCGCCGTTTATTTACTGCGCCCTCTCCCGCGCGCTGGACACTCGAGCCCCCGCTCGCAACTACCACCTACCCCAATCCAGCCGCTGGCGCGGCCGCCGCCCGCGCCACCCATTTCTTCCGGTGATCGTTCCGGCGCTTCCCCGGCGTATCCCCGTGTTGCCGCTGCTTCCTCCATCTCCCTCTAGTCGCTGCCGCCCCTCATGCACGGCATTCCTCCAACGAACAGCGCCCGGCCACCCACTGCTGCTCGGCGCCCGCAAGGTGTTCGACAAAACGCTTGCAAGGTATGTATTGCTTCAACTTCACATTTTTTACATGGATTATGTGCATGTTGTTCGTAGTTTTTATAGCCTAGTTTAAATGGAACATTGTAGATGAGTTCGTCATATGATTCTTCCGAAGAAGAATTTGATATTGAAGAGGAGGAGAATCCTGCAATGATCCTAGCTATGCACATCAATAAAAAAACCGAAGCACAGTGGTTCGGTTATGGGTCGGCAGAAAATTTGGAGGGATAGGATCGATGCCCACAACAGATTGATCAGGCACTATTTTGCGGATCCTCCTGTGTACCCCGAGTCGTACTTCCGGCACCGGTTTAGAATGAGCATCGAGTTGTTCAGGCGCATTGCACAGAAACTAGCGACCATGACCGGTTTATTCAACAAAGGAGGAATGCCGCCAGAGAGCTCGGGCATAGCACCTTTCAGAAGGTGACAACCGCTTTGCGTATGTTGGCATACGGTATCCACGTTGATCTAGTTGATGATCACTTGGCCATGTGTGAGAGTCAAGCCATCCTGTGTGTCGCGTCGGAATTGTGCAAGTGTTTGGCCAGGAGTATTTGAGATCTCCCAATGCCGAAGACGCCGCAAGGCTACTGGAGATGAACAAAGCTCGCAAGGCTACTAGGAAAAGGCATGCTAGTGGCGCACCAGTTTTGCCTACTAATGGCGCACTACTGGTGCGTCACTAGCATCACGCCATTAGAATTAAATTCTAATGGCGCACCTCTGGTGCGCCATTAGTATCTGGTGTTCTAATGGCGCACCAAGTAGTGCGCCATTAGTATAGCCTACAGTGCGCCATTAGAATGCCTCCCAGAGGGCCATATGTACACATGTGCTTTGGCTTACTAATGGCGCACCAGTGGGTGATGCGCCATTAGTGTGATTATAACAGTGCGCCATTAGTGTCTTGTGTGGTGCGCCATTAGTATTAATATTAGGGTTTTTTATTTTTATTTTTATTTTTTCATAGGTTACAAGATATATTATTTGACAGAATATAGACAGCACCACACAGCAACAGCAGATTCATCGAATACAATAGAAGGTAAGTCTCCGAATACAATTCATCATATTAGTCTCCGAATACAAAAGACCGAACGAAGATAGAACATTACAAGTCTCGGAGACCGCGAGTAGCGAGTTTGTCTTCACATTACAAGTCGATATCGATCATCTAAACTACCATCACATAGAAGAGAGCTGCGGTCATCACGATGAGCATCATCGCGATGAAACTGGTCTTCACCCGGTTCCTCCAACGCTCCCTCTTCTCTCCCGCTAGATAGCGAGCATATCTAGATTCCGCCTCCGCCCTAGTGATGTACCCTTTGTAACTGTTACCGCTGAAACGGTGAACCTGTCTCCAACACTCCTCCCAGTCATCGTAGACTCCGGGAACCTTACTCTTGTACACGACATACGACGGCATCTCTATGCAAAAGCCAGACAACAGACAATACATAAGCAATATATAAGTATGCAACAAAAGGATCGGAAGAGAAAAGTAAGACATTAATAGCACGATTCATGGTCCTACTAATAAATAGCATCGATTACATCTAAGTTGAACGAATGTCCAAACCAAAGAGACATACAAGTTCATTAAAGTTTAATTACAACATGAGCTAATCGATGTTTCAGAACTACAAATAGCATCACTACTTTCGACTCGACTCATGGGACCAAAGCGTGGATGAAGCCGTCGTCTTTCGTGATGGTCATGAAGTCGCGGGCGTTGTCAGCCTGCATTTGAAGTGTTGTGTCTATCTCACTGTTGGACGGTTGCTCTCTGAGGTAGAACTGCCCCGAGGTACGAAGGACATCTTGATGGACGATTTCTGCAAACTCCGACTGGATGCGAAAGAATTCTTGTCGGAGGTCCGCGTCCTGGATTGCCTTCAAGCTTGCGGCCCAATCTTTGACATTATTTGGTAGCAGAAGGTGATTATGGTCCCGTACGATCGCCCTCGTGTGATGGAGGGCGTAGTAGGCATCCTTCTGACCGCCAGGCGGCTGCTTGACACAGGGGAACGTCATATTGTGGGTGAACACGTGTCTGCCGTACCTACGAACTGGCCTCTTAAAGGTGCCTCCAGATGTGGCGTAGCCGGGGAGAGCATCATCAAGAACTTTCTTGATATTTGTGTAGTCTATCTTGGAGTCACGGTCCGGGTCGAAATACGTGGCCCTGGAATATTTCGGGCTTAAGAGGATGAGTGTGCAATGTGTGTCACTGCACAGAACACGGAATGTTAGAAAAAAAAAAGAACGATCAAAATCTAAGAAATCATATGTTATGGGGCGGTGAGGGGATGACTTACTCGGGAAAGTAAGGCACGAGGAAGTTATCCTTATCTGGGTTTGCCAGAATGACGCCTTCGAGGTGTGAACTTGCGACTTGCCGGTCCCCAGCGCTGCCCAAGATCTTGGCACGCATGTAGAAGGGGTCGACTATCACGATGTCCGGGGTCTTGTCTCGAATGATCCGCATCTCCATACTCAGCGAAAATAGTCGAACGAAGGTGTAGTGCAGCGGATGAAGATTAAACATAGCAAATATGTCATCAAACCGCAGGACGATCGTACCCCCGATGGTGCCATCCACAAAGCCCTTGCCCTCTGGGATCTTGGCCACGAAAACCGGGTATGCCACATCTTTCTGGGAGAGACGCCGCTTCTCCAAAGAAAGAACGATGTCATGCAAACTCCGCATAGCACCGGTTGCAGCATTGAGCATATTTGTCGGTAGCATCTCCCTACCCGCCACATGCACCCTCCTCGAGATATCCTGAGGTGAAGGTGGCCCGTCCTGAGCACGGATCGTACTCGGTGCCGGCTGGCTCGCACCGGCGCCCTTGGCAGTCTTTCATTTCCGTCCCTTCTTCTTGATCTGTTGTAATGGGACCGAGTTCTGCTCACAGACCGCCTTCTTGAGCGTGTTGGGGCTGATAATATTTTGCACCTCAGCTATCTGAGGCTCGGTGAAGGCAGGAGCTGGAGGCGTCTCCTGAGAACTGAACGCCAGACGACGCCTGTTGCAATTGGATTTCTCCGTCGTACCAGCTAGATCGCGGTCATCTTGGTTGCGTTCTTGAGAAGGAGGCCCACCGAACTCGTCACCGTACCCATGTTTGAAAAAGTACTTATCGACGTTGGTAAATGTATCGTCGTCGTTGTCGTCGTCGTCCGGATCCTGTGCCATATGCATGTCCGGATCCTGTGCCATAGGGATGTCTGACATGTCCGGTAGCGTTGCGGCGTTCTTGCCATGGCGCGGCGCCGGCACGACTGGCGGTCTTGTCTGTGGGGTGGTGTCCCCCGCCCCCAAACGAATCTGGCTCTTCGGCCAAAGCAGTGGTGGCATCCTCGGCGGCACCATCAGTGTGTCATCCCCGACGCCACTAGGGGTTGTGTAGTAAGGATCGGTGTCTTCCGCGGCGTCCTCATAGCGGTGAGGTTGTTCCTCCATCTCCTGGGACAGCTCCCAGAATTGCTTGCCGCCCGAACCGCCGGCCTCATCGTTGTTGGCCATGTTTCGCTCTAAATAGGAAAAAAGTTAGGTCAAAAAGTTGGTTATTGTCGAGGAACAAGATCATGGTCTCATCATTTAGGGTTTGTCGACACCGAGGCATCCTAAAAGCTAAGCTTTTATCATTTAGGGTTTGTCAATGCCGAGGCACCCTAAAAGCCTAAGCGTATATCATTTAGGTTCTCATCGACACCGAGGCACCCTATAGAAGCCAAGGTTTCATCATTTACGGTTTGTCGACACCGAGGCACCCTAAATGCTAAGTTAAGTTTTCATCATTTAGGGTTTATCGATGCCGAGGCACCCTAGGTTGGGCTTAATCACTTGGCACTAATCACTTGGCTCTATTGCCACCTATGTTGGGTTTATCATCTAGGGTTTATCGATGCTAAGGAGAATTCTAAGTTGGGCCTAATCACTTGGCTCTATTGCCACCTATGGTTTAATGCAGCAAGAATGGCGGGGTTGTTGATCCTACTTAACTAAGTACTAAGATACCCCGGGCCATGCATTAGTCGCAAGTACCCCATATGTCCTATTTTTAGCAAAGTATTGCTAAAATTCACGGAAAATTTCAGCATGACCTTTGCTGAAAATAGGACATATGGAGTACCCGAATTTGCCGGAACGGAAGTTAATCGACATTCTGGCAAACTCAAGGGCCTTTCGGGGTACCTGCAAAATCATTATCCCCGCGTAATGAAGTCGCCAATGGGTCATTTCAGAAGATCACAAGTAGCATCATCACAAGTACAACATCATCACAAGTACAGCAGCAGCAGAAGTGAATACAGGCATAACAGCAGCAGCA